CCTGAGAAAATGATGAAGGAAATACGTAAGCACGGCTCGCAGGTTTGGGGGAGGTAATTAAACACACAGCTTGACTTCCCTTTCAACCCAGAAAATTTAATGTTGCTCTGTATCTATCTATAAAGCTATTTTTGTACTTGGTTCAGGCCTGACCTTCCACTGCTTTGTCCAGAAGTCAAACACTCCACAACTTCAAAGTGAAGCCAGTTTTGTTTCAAACACAACCAACGCTCTATTTACTTCTTTAAAACAAGCAAAAGCCCAACAGATTTTTGGTCAGCTTGAATGCACACGGAGAGGCTTTATCCTGTCCTTCCTACCCTGATGTCCGTACAGAAGTCTCCCAGTTTGGACCAATACTTGAGTCAGGAGACTTCACTAACTCACCTGAAGAAATCCCTTCAATATTTCCACTTTTGCCAAAAGAAATCACTGCCAACAGCTCTTCCAAGGAGAACCACTCTAGAAACACCACACAGTGCTCAACCTCTTGGAGGCTGCATCTCTGTAAGGACCAGGCATCGCCTCCATCCTTCAGTGCTCATCCTCCTGAAGGCTGCATCCTTCTTCACGCCAAGCCATCTGATTACCCTTAACTTGCTCCTTTCCAAGCTTTTTCATGAAACTTTTAGATGCTGTACTAAGGGACATGGTCTAGTGGAGAAATATTGGTGGCAGGCAGACTAGATGATCTTGGAGGTTTTTTCCAACCTTGGAAATTCTGATTCTAACACCTGGTGTAGCCATAAACCCTCCAAGGGGTTTACAATACGGTGGCAAGAGGATGGCACCCGCAAATTACTGTCCCATCCCCAGCTCACAGCTCAGCCCACAGAGCATCCTGCAGCTGCTCATGTGTTACAGGTGGTGGGGGCTATTCCAGTGCTTACTGAAATGTGTGAATTTCATCAAGCTCACTTGTTTGTTTGGGCTTGGGTTTTTTTGCTTATTTCTATTCACCTCATTTTAACTACATTTTCAGTTTTTCTGGATTTTCTTAGTGACATTAGTTAATGCCCCCAGAGGGGAACAAACCCAGGAAAACTGAATATGGTGCAGGAGGAAACACAGGAAACCCGTGGGCAGCTATTTAAAGACCCAGCGATGCCTCATGGAAAACTCTGAAACACATCCAGGCAGTGACAAACCCTGCAGCTCGGGGTCAGAGTCTCCTTGGGGTCCACACTGCCCCCAGACAGCACACAGCGGGGCTGACCCTCTTCTCTGCACAGCCATCAGACAAAGGGTCCTCATAAATACCATGAAACCCTCTGTGACCACTCAACTACAATTAGTGAGCCCTGTACCCTATCACAGATAGCAACCACTGGTTTCACCTTCACTAGATCATATGGCCAGAGACTGCACACCATAGCTGCCAGCAGCAACACAGACCCATAAAGCATCCAATTCACTTCTTACCTTCATACTGCACTTCTGGGGAGCACATGCACTTTGGCTTCTCAGCCTTTTACCCCAAGGGCATGCTCTAACCCCAGCTGGGAACATCACGAGTTCACAACTCAACACCACCTGGGTCCCTCCACCAAAACAAGCAGCACTCACATTGCTGTGGCATTGCCCAAAGAAGAGATTACCAAGAGAATAATCAAAAACATGCCCCAAGGTGAAGAAAGCTGCTCCACATCTCCATGAGACCTCAACCCACCAGTAATTCCTATGAAGAGTGACAGCAGGTGGTTATACAATTAAAGGTTGTGTCTACTTTGGGACTTTTGTGTTCCACAAAGTAGTAAACTTCAGGAGAGCCCATCTGAGCAAGGCAGTAGTTGGATTTCCATCTGGAGCACAGCAATAAAGACTTCAGGGAACTACGACACTTTAACCAGGTTTGCTGGGAAAAGGGCCAGGCTTAATTTTTTGGGATTCTCTTGAGATTTCCCCTCTAAACCGAACCACCAAATGAGGGATCAGCAAACCCCTCCAGGTCTCAACGCATCCGAGAGCAATGCTGCCGCAGGAACCCAAATCCCAGCTCTGAATGCAGCTGGATCCAGCCAAGTTCTGACACGCTTCACCTTCCTGCCTAAAATCTGCAGGTCTCATAGTAAAGCAGAGCAAAATAACAGAAACCCCAAAGCCTCCCAGTTCTGCAAAGCCTAAATAATGGTTTAATGAACAGATGACCCTCCGAAGTCCAAGGGAGGAACAAGGGAAGGGTGGGATAAATGGTGTGGGAAAGACGACTTGGGATCTGGAGACCTCCTGAAACTGAAAATCTCATTAGCACAAAAAAGGAATTTCTATCATCAAGGTACAATAAGGCTTCCCACCACGCTGGAAGTGCTGGAAGGGCTGTGCAAAGAAAGGAAGGCAAGGTAGGGGATAACAAAGGTTTATTGCACGTTAACTTTCACCAAATGCTTTTTGAGTGACTGAGTAATCCCCTTTAACAGAGGCCCTCCCCACACAGTGCTTCCTTTGATGCTCATTAAAAGGTTCACCTTATGCAGGATATGGAAAGGATTAAAAAAAATAATAATATTAAATCCCCATTCTGATTACTGCGCCAATTATAGAAACCGAGATCCCAGCTCAGCATGCAAAGCCAGCTTGGGGGAGACCCTGTCCTGCATGCCAGCAGTGCCTGCTGCAGCACAGGGAGCACCATGGAGGAACAGCCTACGGGTTGACAAGGGGAAGGTGGAAGGTGGCAGCAGTGCAATGGGCAGGATGGAAAACAGCAGAAATGCTTGCCCTGCATCCTCGCTGGCTGCAGGTCCCTGCAGAGCTATAAGGATCTCCTAACAAGCAACCTTCTTAAACTCAGAGACAATGCCATAAAACGTATATTTTAAATAAATAACTTTCCAGAGCTTTTTTTTTTTTTTTTTTTCTTTTTCCCTCCTCAGTTTGAACCCCGTGCCAAGAAACTAAATGCTCCAAAGCACTGCTGCAGAAATGGCAACTGCTGAAACACTTCTTGCATTCACCACGTGCAGCCAGACGTGGCCAGGAGGCAGCGGCAGCCTCAGCAACCAGGGGACCTGGGGAAAAGAGGCAGAAGGAGCCTCCCAACATGGCTGGGAGTTCCCAGAAACCCCTCGGAAATCCCCTAGAGTCCAGGGACAGCAGTGCTTCCCCAGCCCAGCGTATTTCCCTGCTAGAGCAACCCAGGGCAGCTGGTCCCTGCGGCTCGGGAAGTGCTGCTCCCAACAGTGCTTTCGTTGTCAGCTTCTGAATAAATATTGTTTTCGAAACTGTTTCTCAGGGGACTCACCCCAAGGAGTCCCCACATCCGCTCACAGCCACTGCAGGGCGAGCGCTGCCCCACTCTGACGGCTGCTGGGAAGAGCTGGCTGCAAGCCTGAGGTCCTCATGGAGAAATGGGGGTTAAAGTGCTCAGAGCAAATGCGGTCCTTTCCTGATGCTCCAAGAGCATCTGCAGGAGAGGAGAGGACCCTCATAGACATTTCTTAGGGGATACAGCACAGGTGCTGGATGTGACCCATGGGACACGGAGCTCAGAGCTGTGCAAACAGCGCAGCAGCAACACGTCCATTAATGAACCAGTAACTCTTTTGGAAGGCTTTTTTCTGTGATGCAGGTTACCCAAGTCCTCCACAAGTGCTGTATGTCCTCTCCTTAGTGACTCCTCCATGGGCTGAGCACCAAGCTGCAAGCCCTGGGAGAGGGCTGCTCTGCAAGCCAGGACCACATGTAATTGTACAACAAGATCCCTCCATCCTTCAGTGAAGGATGCATCCTTGGGATAGGGGGAAGCAGCTTCCCAGGAGCTCTACACCGACAGCTGTGTGCAAAGACCAAAAAGCAATGGGTGCAGCGATGCTCACTGCCATGGGAGCCACCAAACATCCCACAAACCCCACCTGCTCTTGCTGTGAATGCACACTGACAGCACCCTACACATTTCTCCTCCAAAACTCCAAAGTTTCTCAAACACCGAGACTGCAAGAAAACCACACCAGTCCCAACAGACAGGGGATGGCTGGAGCCCAGTGGAACCAGAGGGTGTAAGAAAGGGCAGTGGGGGACACCAAGACACCAAAGTTAAAGCTGACTCTGCACGCTGACACTAACAGTCTTTCAACACCAGGGAAACCAAAAGGCTGTAAGCTGCAGGTGATCCCCAGCAGCGGAGCAAGGGTTGGGTTGTGTTGCTCACACCATCAATCACCGTGGCAGCTGCCCCGGCCACTTCCACTCATCGCAGCAGAGCTGGGTAGAAGTACCAGGCGCCTTCACAACACTCAGCCAATTAGCACCAGAATGATGTAAAAAACAAATTAATAATAATAACACGCAGTGCCTTTTTCCGGAATAACAATCCACATATTTGCATAGAGCAGCTTAGCGCGTGGCTGCGTTTCTGATCGCACCTCCGGGTGCATCAAAAGCGTTGTTAATTTCCATCGAGGAGGCTAAGGAGCTTAAATCATTAGCACTCATTTAGTTAGACTTAATGCATTTTAACGCTGCCTCAATTTAGGCTGAGATGTGGGCACCTATCAGCCAGGACAAAGGAATAAGAGGAAAAAACTAAAAGGGATAAACTACCCCCGGGGTAACCCGCAGGTGCCCTCACTCTGTGCACCCACAAAGGGTCACTGCCCACAAAGGGTCACTGCATCCCGGATCTCTCGCATGCTGGGCTGGGAGCACTGAGCCCACGCAGGGTTTACCCACGCAGGATTCTGCTCGCTGCCGTCACGTGGCGCTCCCCGATCACTTTCCTGTGCAAGCGTTAAGGAGGAAATCCGTCCTGGACAGATGGACGGACACAGGCGGACATGCGGACACACGGCTCACCCTGCATAACACGGCTAGCACGAGCCCGCGGCAAGACCGGACCTTAATTAGAGCTAGACACCAATTAAGACCCCCGCAACCAGCAGCGCCCCGGTGCTCCCCATCGCGCCGCTCTGCCCCCAGCTCCCCTCTGCCCCAGGGAAAAAAGAAATCGAAGTGAAATGAAATAGAGAAAAAGAGCACGGGAGGGAGGGAGCGGTGCCCGTTACCTGCGCTCGCCCCCCGCCCTGCAGCCGCGGCTCTGCCATTGCCTCTGCAGACCCTGGGACTCCGGGGGGATCTTCTGCCGGGCTGCAATAGAAAAGGTTCGTTTCAAGCTCCTTATTTGGGCAGTGATGTCAGGGGAAGTTGTGCAGGCGGCACCACCCCCTTTTTCCATTCACTACACATTGTTTCCTGTTGTCAAGAGCTCTCCGCGGGCTGGGGACGGGCGAGGGAATCCTGCAGCCCCCGACGGGACGGAACGCAGCGACGGGAAGGGGATGGAGCCGACCTGGAGCAGGGACGGGGGATACGGGGAGCCGAGGGCAGCGCCTCCTTCCTCCCCATCCCTCCTCCTCCTTCTCCCCGTCCCCTCCCCATCTGCCCTCCCGGCGCCGCGCACCGCGCAGATCCGCTCTCCGGGACACCCGGAGCGACCGCAACCCGAATTCAGGGTTGCAGCGTGTGGACACGTAGAGCTCAGCCCCCCACCCGAGGGGTCACCCGATGGGACCCTGCGCAGCCCCCGGGGCAAAGAAAGGGTGGGGGGGGGGAGGGCTGGGCACCGGCGGGGGCTGCCCACGCGAGATTTCCCCCCACGCGAGACTTCCACACGCGAGATTTCCCCACTCGGGTCGCCCCGTGGGCACGCGGGGTTCCCAGCGGGACCCTTCAGCATCCCGCTGCCCAAACGCACCTCCCCCCCTTTCCTCCTTCGCTTTTCTCGAATTATTTCATCCTCAGATGTTGGCTCAGCTCTTAAGCCTGCAGCCCGATAGGAACGTCGGCTCGGCGAGAGGACTTTAAGGTTGTTTGGTCGTTTTTAATTAAGCACTGCCCGTAACAAACCTTGTGCTGGAAGGGGGAAGCAGCACTCTCCTCGCTCCTACCGTGCACTGCCTGGGGAGAGAGGGGGCTGTGATGGGGCTCTCCTGAATCAGGCTGCACAAAGACATCACGACTTCCAAAGTATGTGTATATATGTATATCTACATGTCAAGCCTCTGTTCCTATCTGACTCCAGACTTTAAAAAAAGTCAGTGCTCAGCCAAAAAAAAAAAAAAAAAAAAGACATCTAAGGATGAAGTAAGGATGCTGTGTGGTCTCTACAGAAGCCAGACTTGGCACGGAGTGCTTTTTGGGGTGAACATCAGCTCTGTTGTCATTTTGCTCAGCAAACAGCATGTTGCTTTCCAGAACAGGCAATGATTGGAAACCCAATGCTGCAGCACTGAGCAGCCCCCCCTCAGTCCCTGCCCGCTGCTTTCCCCTGTGATTTGGTGCTAAAAGCAAGAAAATACCATCTAACACAGCTGCTTTCTATGGGCTTGTTACTAGCCCAGCTTCACACCCCATTTCTGCATCTCATTCTGGACAGAAAGTGAGAATCACGGCCTTACATGTTTAATTTTGCTCCCATGGTCTCAGTTTGAGTCACTTTGCCATAAGTAGGTACAATTGCCTCATTGTACTGATGCAGACACTAGATATGCTAAATACTGATATATATAATAAATGAAATATGGCTCAAGGGGAACACGGGCAGAAGACACAGCCTCAGGATCCATAGAAATAGCAGCAAGGTGCACCACACAGCATTCAATACAGGAACGTTGAATATTTCCTCAAAAGAAAGCAGTGTGGGTATTTTTTCTTTTATTTATTATTACATTTGACCAACACTTTAGCATCTGCCCATCGGAGCAAACACCCTCTTGCCACCTCCTGAAGTCACCTTTCGTGCCCCAGCACCCACAAGGTCCAGGTATTTTTCTCCTAACCAGCACAAATGTGGCCATTCAATGCAATTAGCACAAAGGTGTTTGCCCGTGGCGGTGCCTTTTCTTGGGTGGAAAAGTGTGGTTTTGCTGAAATGGGAAGAGGAAGGGCAGGGTTCCCCCGAGGTTTCACCCCAAGGGCCCACTGGGGTGAATTTTGTGGGAACCCTTTGTTCCAAACCAATGTTTGGTTGGGACAGAGGCCATGCTTGGGTCACGGATGGCCAACACAACCACAGCTCCCCTCACACCCAAAGACTGGACTCTTTCCCTTCCGCTGATCCCATCCCTCATCCACCTCAGGATGGGTAAAAATTACCTACTGCCTGAAAAGGTCTCTTGGAAGCTGTTTCCGTCCCCGTTTTTTGGAGCACTCCTTCCCATTGCCAGCTGCCAAAGCGGGGTCACTACTCTCATCTTTTCCATCTTTACCATTGTTAGAGCTGCTGTCTGGGTTAACGGAACAGGAAAGGAGGCTCCCCCTAAATCTCTTTGCTGCAGCATGGGAATCTGAGCCGTTCATATTCATTCTTGAAGTCACTTCACCTTTCTGTTGCAAAGTTTTCCCATCTGGGAAACTGTCCGGGGACTGTCAGAGGTTGTTTGCTTCTCTGCTTGTTTGTTTGTTTAAAGCCCTCACGTCCAACTCGGAGCAATCATGCTCCTGATTGAAGAGGGCACTGGGAATACATTTCCCATGTCATCCTCCTGCTTAGGAAAATCACAGCAGTAGAAACCCGCAGATCCAACTTAACATTTTGAGACATATTTAACAACCTTTTACGATCTGAACTGTAAATCCCTAAAAGTGAAACAAGACCTTCAGAAGCCGCAGACTCATGCCCCGCAGCCCGCACCAGTAAAAGCCCAGTGCTGGAAAAACTCCCCCTACATTAGGAAATCCCATCACTATGTGAATTGATGGCAGCTCACGGTTCTTCCAGCCCTCCCACCAGCAGCTGGGAGCTGAAAGCCCACTGCAGGCGACGACCTTGTTCCCCCCATGCTGTCCCCCTTCCCAGCACTGGGAACTCTGCATCACCCTTTCCACATCTGCAAAGTGGGAAAAATAGCTTTGCTTAACTCCAAAGGTCCCCGTGCTCATTAAACATTTCAAAAGCATGCGGGAGAATCTACAATTATCCACATAAAATCACTGCAAAGTTTCATTATTATTCCAACACTTACATTAAAGACACATGTCCTGGTAAGTAGCAGGCATGAGGAATCATTATGCTAATTTTAGACAGAGCATCTGCTCAACGTTAAATCTGAAACTTTGTCTCGAAGATATAATTTAAATTATTTTTCTTCAGAATTGACATTTGTCAAACAATATGTTGCGAATAGGAATTGCAGCCAACTCTGAGCAATCCGAGCGAACACACGCATTGCGCCGCGCCGAAAAGCGCTCGGAGGGAGGAGAGGTTGGGGATTTTGGCAGGAGTTAACGAGTGGAAGAGCCAGGCTGCTGGGTTTTCTGCCCCTCAGATGCTGCTGTCAGCTTGTGCTGGGGGCACAGAGGGTGTTGTGTCCCCTCCTAGCCCACAGCAGGAGTTGAGGTCCTTTTCATCTCTACCTTTCTGTGGTTCTGCCATCTTGAAGCACCCTTCCACCCCAACTCAATGCAGCTGAACCCAGTCTATCCCAACACAACATAACCCAACACAACATAACCCAACTCAACTCAACCCAACGCAACCTAACCCAACTCAACCCAATCCAGCCCAGCACAACAGAACCCAACTCAACTCAATCCAACCCAACAGAACCCAACCCGACTCAACTCGACTCAATGCAGCCCAACACAAGACAACTCAACTCAACCCAACCCAATCCAGCCCAACACAACTCAACTCAACCCAACCCAATCCAGCCCAACACAATACAACTCAACTCAACCCAACCCAACCCAACCCAATCCAGCCCAACACAACACAACACAACTCAACTCAACACAACCCAACACAACTCAGCCCGACCCAACCCAAGCAATTCTATGATTCCTCCATCTTTAAGACACTTCCAACCCAAATATTCTGTGATTCTATGAGTGTATGACCTTTCCACTTGCTTGGTCCATTTTTCAGGGACAGCAGATATTATCTTCAGAGCCAGCACTTCCAGCCCTGTTGTGTTTACACTGGGGAAGGGACATGACTACCTTCAAGCAAACCTTTTTCCCTTCTTTCTGTCTTTTTCTGTACAACCTTCCTATTCATCTTAGACCAGTCGTTTCCAGCATGTCTGGGAAGCCCTGGGGATTCAGGGGCAACTTCTAAGGGTTTTGTGAGTTGTCATTAAGAAAAGCAAAGCCAGTGGTCGGAGGCTTAAATTTGCTATGCAAATGACTGCACCCCACCATAAAAATGTAAAATTTACAAATCAAAAAAAGATTGGAAACCACTGACATAGACCAATGAATGGTAAATACCCCAATAACCACATCCACACACATGAAACAAGCTATTACAGAGCGGGTCCACATCCAGCAGAATGGGTGTCTATACATAACAAGCGTTAATTTGAAGATTAAATAAGCATTTTCACCATATAGTTTGGATTATATCGTGCACACAGGAATCATCTTCCCCCCAAAATATACTACACAAATGAAAGCATTGGTTTGCTTTTCAGAAAGGAAATCAAATGGTCACAAATTGCTGGTCACAGAGTTTTTTGCATTGCACTGAGCAAAACTCCCAAGACCCATCAGAAATTGCTCATCTCAGAATTCCTGAATCACAGAATCACAGAATCACAGAACGGCCTGGGTTGAAAAGGACCACAATGATCATCCAGTTTCAACCCCCTGCTGTGTGCAGGTCACCAACCAGCAGCCCAGGCTGCCCAGAGCCACATCCAGCCTGGCCTTGAATGCCTGCAGGGATGGGGCATCCACAGCCTCCTTGGGCAACCTGTTCCAGTGCCTCACCACCCTCTGGGTGAATGTCTGGTTATGAAATCAGCCTCCAACCCCTGCGTCAGCTCCTATCTGGCAGGATCATATGGATATAGTCTACAAGGGTCTAGCAGCTTTTTAGACAAAAGATAGAATAGAAATAGCCATTATCTAGGACATGAGATGATGGCCACAAGTTGTTCCAGGGGAGATTCAGGTTGGATATTAGGAACAATTTTTTCTCTTAGAGTGGTGAAGCAATGGCATGGGCTGCATGGGGATGGTGGAGGTGATCCAGAGCTGTGAAGATGCAGCACTGAGGGGATGGCTTGGGGATGGACTAGATCATGAGTATCCAACCTATTGGATTGCCTGGGTTGCACCAAGTAAAGAGGAATTGTCTCAGGCCT